AATAGCCGATTCAAATAATCTATGGGTGAAAACGCGGCTGCAAAGGTCTTTTTGATTTTTTGCTACATTTTTTGTGAAATAAGATGGAATTACTGTAGCTGATTACTGACATGAGATCAGGGCATCTCAACTTAGTTTGAATGTCCGTTTCTAATGCTTATTATCCTGTTAATGTGACTCACACTGAAACACTAAGTATTCAGCTACTTGCCCGTAAGACATTATGTTACATCGACTCCTGCTAAATTGTCAGTAAATGTAGACAAACCCAATGCCTGATGTTGAGTTGATCTCACAAATCACAAAGGACGGCACTGCTTACGGTAACTTTGGAAACGGGTCAATACTTGCCCACAGATCGAACTGTGTCGGGCCACCGTGTTATATTTGCCAATTTACGTTGGAGAGACACGTTGGTTTAAGCAGGTGTCCTTGCTTGCTGTAAGTATACAGGATTTTTTGTGGTAAATTCACTGACCGAGTAGCAAAACGTCAACGCTTTCAGAAGAGCACACGACTTGGAACCACTAGGTCCCAGAAGCTAACCAGCTTCACCGATTTGCTCAAAGGCGGTAGACAATTGAAACTATGACTCCTAGGAACTATTCCACTCTCATCTGAATCACGAAGTCCAAACTCAGGGACGTCCGAACTTTTGCTACAGGGATAGACATCAGGTAAACGTAATGACCTGCAATTTGCCTTTTACATTAGGGGAGACTCGACATCTAACGAAGACCTTAAGAGCATTCTGGCTCGTCCCAAAAGTCTGCAAAACAGGCGAGCGACCTGAACGTGATTCAGTACTTTGCAAACTAATTTGGTTTTTCGAGAGACTCACCTAAAAACCTAGCTGAATCTTTCGCTTGTGATGTTTTAGGCAACTGAATGTGTTGCACCGGGCCGCCTCATATTTCAGTCTCTACGATATTCGAGATATCGCGATATATGTATATCTCTGTAATGTACTACTCATAAGGTTGTTGAAAATCCGACGACAGCCCACGACTGGTGTTGCTCTTCTAAGGGCTCATCAGGTAGGCGCAGTCCCCGGGTTTCCGTTAAACTTAAGTTCTACTTGAAACCAAATTGCACGAAATTAGCAAATATACACTCATTTGCAAACTAACTTGGTCTTCTGGGAGACTCACCTGGAACCCAGATGATGTTTTCAGATGTTTTCAAGAAAGGGCGAAACCGGTCGCGGGCTGTCGACGGGTTTTCAGCAACCTTTTGAGTAGTACATTGCAGAGATATACATGATTTAGTCCTACTCAACAACCGCTTCCAATGGCCTGATACGTGGCAATGCACAAACACAGATATTTGGCCGTTGTTCGACATCATACGCTTACATGCTTACTTTCTAACCGCTGGAAATATTACTAACATGGTTTTGATTCATTCCCTTGCCATGAATCGGTTTCATCATGAGGACAAACGTACCCATAAACGCATGGTTAATAAACTAGCGCCCGTTTTTTGCTCACCATCTGAGTGGTTCATGAATGGGCAGTTTGAGGAAAGTAAGAGGTGAATTATGGTGCGAGCAGTATATAGGTCGTATGCAGTTGAGTGTTGAAACATAAATAATTTAACGGATGAACTTAATAAATCAGAAATAAATAATTATATGGTTCTGTTATGCCATCGTGTTTAGGCCGCCACTTGGCCTTTCACGTGTTATTACATTTTTCATGGAGATATTACTCCTCTCAATACATGCATAAATCAACTGCTTGTACACGGGATTGTATCTAGCTTCGCACGTCCAAAGTACTAGTGTCCGAAATTGCAAAAGTCCATCGGATTTTGATCGAAAAACGGAAAGAGCATGGCGATTTCAAAGTGTTTTGTGAACATCTAGATTTTCTGATCAGGGTTTTTTCTAACCTTGATTGAAATTATATTATTAATTGCCATGTACTTCCAGTGGTTTCACCATGGTCACAGGATAATTAGAAAGCTTCGGGTTGTATAGTCTGTTTTCTGCTGGAGGGGTTGAAAACAGCCGATATGCGGCTTTAGGCATACTTTGAAGCGTACTGTTTGATTTGCTAGCAGAAAAATGAAAATAGTCCATTATGCCGATCTTGCGTTTGAAATTCTCCATGTGATACATACTGCTGAATTATGGTGCCATTCAACGAAGTCCCGACTTGCTACTCATGTGTTTGATTGCGGTTATCAGCCGTTCGGTTAAATACTAGCTAAGTTATTCCTCAAACGTGTTCTTTTCCAAGTCTGCCTCTGCGTTATGTTTGTCGACCCAAAAATAACCCAACGAAGCATGAAGTTTCTCTGCACCAAAAATCTTCTACTTAGCACGTTTCATTCGGTCAATTTTTGCATCTTGGGAATATCATATGATTGCTACCATGCGTCATTAGCCTGTCCAGAGGCTATTTCATTCAACACTCGTACTAAGTTTATTCGGGCTTGAGAGCCTTTGCGATCACGTTATTGTTTAGGCAACTTCAAAGCAAAATATAATCTGTGCACTCAAGTGTTGAGGCCATAAGCTCAACTACGTTCGTGCTATATACAAATACACAATTCTAAGAATTTAACTCGCAGTGAGGGTTGCGATACGACACTAGCGGCAATTTCGAAAGTCGCCGAACCTCAGAATTTTTGTCTCTGTTTTAAATTGCATTCCTTTTTCCATCATTGCTGATAACGTCTTGAAATGGATCAAAAATATTTGAAGGTACTGTTCAAAAACACATCGATGAGACTTTCGGGTTGTTTGCGTTTATGTTATACGGCACATGATAGGAACAGATTTGTTCACGACTCCTCTGTGTGCATTTTAATTGGGAGAATAGCAGTGCTTTTCAACAGAAAGTTTCTACATTCAGTATACTATAGTCACTGATGACCACCTTAGTTTGAATCATGCATGGTTTACGTTGTGTATCCCGGATGTACCGAGAGTTTTAGAAACGGGCAGAGCTTGGAGTTAATGACAAAATCACGCGGCTCATCAAATTAATGATCTCACTCACGAACGACGGTCCTTTACAGATTTTGCTGACCCGATTATACATTCGAATCTTAGAGGGCCTGAAGCCGTTTTGTACCACTACGCTCAAGGGGTTCTCAGGTTAGAAAAGCTCACATCACGACCTGATACCTGACACCAAATAATGCTACCAGCACACCGTTGAACAAAAAGTCATCTATCTTAGAGGAAACGCAGATACAGGCTAGGTCAAAAGATACCGCATGAAGTGGTGCCCAGTAAAGTTTGGATATCCAGACCACTGTTTTCGATAAGAACATTGGCGTTTCCGCTTCTACCCGCATTCGATAACTCACGATGAATGAGTCCACTTTTCAATATTTTATACCTCCACAGTCGAGTCGAAATTTCCTTTCTTTAACACGCAATCCATTAGAAAATAAGGATTCTGATAGTTGATACCACTGATCCTATAAAGTGGCTTAAGCCTAGTGATACATTTTCATGTGTATGTAAGAATAAACGAAGTGTTACGTTTTAACACGTAGCGGTATTCGGTTAATTCGAAGGATGGTGACCTCATGGTCGTCAACGGCATTTTGCTTCACATGGATAGCGGACAAACTTGACGAAGGTATGTGTCAAAAACATACTGCTTTGTAGATAAATAGTTGTTGAGATCACTGCTTTATCGAATAAATGTGGCTTTTTGTATTCTGTATACAAGGAGCAGCTTTTTCAATTAGTGTGACGTTCTCCTACTATGAAATTCGGTTGCACATAATGGGTATTTCCCGCTATACGTTTGCCCCACGTGGGTAGTCAGGTGTGATTTTTGGAACCAGTCCTCTGTTTTCAGATGCAAATGACGAAACATTAGCTATGGATAAGGTAGCAGGTGGCTTCATTCTAGCAGATGGCGAATACAGCCCGATAAGGGATAAATATGTACACAACAGATGACTGAAGAGTGACTTTCGGTAAGCCGATATTCTTTCCCGTATTCACGTGACGAACGTTGGTCAAGTCAGATTTGGATATGAACCATTCGAATAGTTCAAGCAATTAAATCAGTAACAAATTACTTTTCTGTGATTTTCCCAATAAGACAATACCGATAGCTTACTCATTAGAGCGTCGCAAAGTTTACAACAGCGGTGATGCATCTTATTTACAAGATAGTCAGTCGTCAAAATGTAGGGCAATAAAAGCTATCACTTGGTCCATTTGGCTTGAAAGTTCGCCTCCAAAAGTCAACTCGTAAAAAGTAGAGATATGAATTGCATCCATTGCAGAACCTGGAAATGCTGGTAGTTTGGACGTGTTTATCTGCTGTTAGTCATTGTCCGAGCTTAGTAACTGTGCGCGGAGGTCGGCTCAATAATCACCACTTGAATGGTGATAGAATTTTTTAGAGCTATCTGCCAAAGCCGATGAACAAATCAACAGCCTCCAGCTCCACACTTAATACTTTGTCAATTTGCTGAGACATCCAACGTAGTGACAACTGCGCTGTAAGACGTAAATCAGTTTCTCTATCCGAGAGTACTCAGATTGCCTAAACAGTTTCCCCCAATTTTATCTGTTCAGGCATATGGTTCTGCAAACACCCTTCCGTACGGCACACAGAACACTGAAACGCTTGATCGCCTTCTTCGTAGGTTTGTGTATCTCACATTTCAAGCAATTCTGAACCGTCGCACCAAGTAATCCCACGCTGAGTGGTGTTTTGCGGATACTATAAATGAAGCAGTGTTACTACGTTTCCTTAACTTGTTATAGCCATCTATTTGCACTTCTACATCAGATCAATCACTTATGGGGTGCATATAATGGAAAGTCAAAAATGGAAATTCTAAACTTTCTGAATACGAAAAGTATTTTCTTGGCATTTCACAACAGCCTGTTTGTTTAACAGTAAGACTGAGTGCCAACGGTTGATTGTGGAAAGCAGTAGTGAGATGTGACATATGAAACAACTTGCATCTTCTCAAGCGTTTGATTTTAAGGCAATCCAAGATTTCAGTAAACTTACCGTATTTGACAAGACATATATCACCGACGACGATATCACCAACAAGGACTTCGACGATTTCCCCCTCACGTACTACGGACATTCGGTGATCGGATTCAATTTTGTCTTGCAGGCCCCTGAATTGACGTTCCTTTTGCCAGTCATTTGTTGCTGTGACCAGTACCACGACAACCACCGCACACAAAATGGCCACGCCTTCAATCCAGCTTACTTCACCCTCTGTTTCGTCGCCACCATGGGAGGTATTATCACCCCCGAAATCTGAAAAGAGCAGAAAATGCAAAGATACGTTTTTTCTGGGGAAAAATCAGCGAAAACTAGACTTTAATCGTTTCTTCACCCGTCGACCACTACATTTAGATCACTGCGTTTTCGCCTGTTAGGAGCCATGATAGAATCTTACGAATTTTTGAGAAGCTGATTGATCTACCAAAAAAACATTCGAGCACTGAACAATGCTTAATACCTTTTTCATGGAACAAACACCCTGCATTGGGCTCTTCTACGCAGGCTTCCACTCCCTGCTGTTTGAGGTGGAATACATCATGTTTAACTTGTGGACATAACAAAATGGATTCCCACGAATTCAGGAAGTATAGTAAGGGAAAGTTTTTCCGTATCTCAAAATATAATTATCAGACAGCAGTGACTGATAAATGTATGCTTGAATCTTGTGACATTTGGGCTTTGCAACATCGCCTCTACCACGAGGTGGCGCTTAAAAACACGCTCCGTTAGCTTTTACTATAAATTTGCACTGTATATCAAAGGGAGATGGTCCAATGAAGTCACACTTCAGCAGATAACGATCATTGACTACCACAATAATGAGAGGAAATGGTTGAGTCTCTGTCCCCTTCATTGTGTAAGAGAACGTGCTGCTGTTTTCACTCGGGAATAAAATGTGGCAATTTACTTGTGTGTGCACCATCACAAACCATAAAATTCGCTCCAATTACCGACAATTTCTAATATATTCATGTTTAGATCACGTCTCCACAGCTTGGTGCTTCATTGTACTCTTGGAGCAAATCTGTTCGTTCATACCACCATCCCACTGAATATCCAACACTTGTTCATTGTGCAGTTCAAAATCCTCATTATTTTCATTGTCCCACGCTGACGGACATACATGAACGTTTGACTACAATAAACAATGATTTGGAAATACAAAATAACACAGTGAACACTGGTGGAGTGCTTATTGCTACAGAGCACGCAATTTTCATCTCTCTTTCTCACGCTATTTAACGAAAAAACTTTCTTTCACCCTGCCGCAAAAGAGAACGTGCTGCTGTTTTCACTCGGGAATAAAATGTGGCAATTTACTTGTGTGTGCACCATCACAAACCATAAAATTCGCTCCAATTACCGACAATTTCTAATATATTCATGTTTAGATCACGTCTCCACAGCTTGGTGCTTCATTGTACTCTTGGAGCAAATCTGTTCGTTCATACCACCATCCCACTGAATATCCAACACTTGTTCATTGTGCAGTTCAAAATCCTCATTATTTTCATTGTCCCACGCTGACGGACATACATGAACGTTTGACTACAATAAACAATGATTTGGAAATACAAAATAACACAGTGAACACTGGTGGAGTGCTTATTGCTACAGAGCACGCAATTTTCATCTCTCTTTCTCACGCTATTTAACGAAAAAACTTTCTTTCAACCTGCCGCAACCGCAACTGCAAGCCAGTCAGCTTTTTTTCGCCGAGTGCATGGGGGCTTAATCGGAATCGACCGGATTAACTTGGCTATCCCGTAAGGGCTTTATAAGAGTGAACAAAGAGGAATTTAACCCCGCAGCAAAATTCCAAGGAGCAATCTCTGGGAAAATTCACGTTGCTGTGGTTGTTTCGGTTGGCCTGTTTGTCTGTTGGCTGAGCTTTGTAACTGAGTTGCAAGCGTTTCAAATTCATTTCCAACATTACCAAAGTTTCCTATTTGATTCCCAAGGTCAGCGGACAGATTAAAAGCTACCTGAACAACTAACATTGAATGCAACCAACATACTCATTTCCCAACACATTTCGGACTAACGCTGTGTTCGTAGCAATCATAGTTTTAATAAGTGAACCCAAAAAATCTCCGGACCTTTTTTTCAAAAAAAGAGCTTGTATCATCCGACTGGAACGGTGGGGTTTCTTTTTTCCGTCACATTCATTCAAATAGTTCCTCAGAATGTTTTTATGACGACAGGCCGAAAAAGTTCACTGTTCACAAGAACAACAGAGTCAACAAGCAAGAATGCCATGCAACCGTTCAGTTACAACATTCTTCCGGTGCCCAGTCACCTTACAAGCAAGAAGAAACATGAGGGCTGAAATTTTGCCAGGTTATCCAATCCTTGATAGGTGCAGTCGAGATACCAGAGTTGTGTTTCAACCACGAACTTTCTGATCATTGTGTCGTAACCACTGATTTATTTTGAACTCATTTTGTTTCGGCAGAGCCGCACAGTATTTGAATGTCCAGTGTTCAGACTTTTCCCGCCTTCTTCTGGCTTTTATGATTCCATTAAGTTTGGCATATTTAACTTCACTCATCTAGTGAGTTGTTTGTGTAGATTTACGACTTCCGTGCCTCATTTAACGTTCTTTTATATGCAAATATTTTGCGGTAAACACGGCTAAACATTTCGCACACTTCTCGACCGTAATGCACAGAGGTGGAAACGTTCCTCTGTAGTCTCACAGTACGTGTCGGAAAGCTCCGGTACTTGTGAATTCGGATGGTGAATAAGAAGCGTGACTCATTATCGTATCATTCTCAGCTCGGCTGTAAATACCAAAATCTGAAGGTACACACTGCTTTCAACACCAGTTGCAGCGGAGGCACCTAATCATTGATTGTATTAGGAAAATGTTACATAACTTTTGATCTTTAATAAATAATCTGGCCGTTAGTAGCACTGGTGTTCAGATTGGATGAAAGTCTCTAAGTTACCAGCAGTGAAGTGAAACGAAGCGATCGTCCTGCTGACAGTCAGTATGAATCACTCATTAACCGAAGAAATGTAAAAATTTACATAAGTTCTCAAAGCTTACATTTTCCTAGATTGCCTTGCTTTTTTAAAGTAGGAAAACAACACCTGCCACGCATGCGCCATTTGTATCCCGTTTATAGGGTTTTATCGTCGGCATTAGAATCAGTGGTAGCACAAATGTCGACTTCGGTGTTATCGTAATTGCCAGCTTGAATATTATTACATCACTTCCATACAAATAGAAACCCTTTTGTCCGTGAGACCTATAAGGTAAAGCAACCACCCAGAAACCTAATTCAACAGCTAAGTACCCAGCGATAAACGATGTTGACTGTGCTCCTAAACGGACCATTATGAAACGTTTCTAGTAATCATTTGATTACAAAATGCCAATAAGGAAGCTGATTTTGAAAGAAGCTTATGGCTGCCACCAAACAGGTGGTCACAGATGCAATCGGTGGTGAAGCGATTCATCAACCCCATCTCACAATGACATCAATGAACTCTGACTGAGTTCAGAACCCGTATATGGGTGAAATCCGTGAACAACAAAATACCTCCAAAACCGTTTGAAACCATTCTAACAAAACCGTATTTGTGAATCATTACTTGTTAAATTTAACACATTAGTATTGCATTTCACAGATTGAATGTAGAGTTTACCAAACCTTTCTGTTGCTCTTCCGCTGTGATTGTCAGAGTACGAAATGTAACATCTTCAGAAATTATCCCTGAGTTGCTCAGTGTATATCGCACAAAGAATTTTCGATCTCACTTCATTATACTAAACTTCACTTTGAATGATCCCCAGTGAATCGGTAATTGATTTAGCCCAAAGAATGTGGAATGTTGATGGTAATTTGAAAGTTCGGCCGAATTGAAGGACACCGCTTTGAATGACCCTCTCAAAACAAATGAATGATTTAGAACTGGAAGCAAAACTGGAACCAAACAATGAGAAAGAGATGATCAGCCTTATTGGTTTGGCTCCTCACATGTGGGAGTGGCTTTCACCAGGCCTAACGATGCACTACAATTGCTATCTTTGCATATAAAGTAACTTCGATTTGTGCTCGCATCGATAAATCCATCAAAAACGCAATCGAATCAAAATTTTGTAACATGTAGCTTACAATGTAGTGAACGAATCAAACTTTGACGTCAGCATAATTTGGTTTGGGAAATTCCACGGTGTCTCCTGTTGGTTTTCATCTTGAAATTTAGCCAAAGTATAGACTTCAATTGTGCTTACTGTTCCTATGTAGACAACTCAAGTCCATTTGCTGTGATGTAAAGTTCATTGGTTTTTAGGCTCGTGCAGCATATAGTTGGCGCATGAACTGCAAACTGTGATGAAATCGTTAGACTGAGCTATTAAGTGAGGGTGCAAGTATGCGAAATATCATTGGGTGAATGAATTTGTGGATCGAGGGTCTGTTTATGATCAATATCATTGTAACATTTCGTCAGAATACAATATGCCCTAACATGTCTACATCCTCAACTGTACTCGGTTTGTTAAAATTACCTGCAGCGATGTCACTCCTAGAGTTGTTACAAATCAGCCAACATTTACGAGATTACATAGTGTACAAAACTCCAACGTTAAACTGCACCGAAGAAGTCGCTGTAAGAGTTCTTAGGTATCGGGTCATCAATTCAGCCAATAAAACATCATTCATTGATACATTTTGTGAGAAACAAGGATGCTGAACGTCACTTTTTTATTGAATCATCACTATGTGGTTTGCTTCTGGCGAAATTTAGTAGAACATCTCGAATTGAAAAGATTTTAGGCAGTGTCAAAATCCTGGTAGCTCGTATGCTGTCATCAGTTAGTGATTCTTCTGCAAATTGTTTTGAAATCTTGGTGGCCAAACCAATAATCAAGCGGATCGAAATGGATGTGATCCCACCCACCTTGGAATTCATTCGAAGGGTTTACTTGTGTCAGAAACGGTCATCGGTAAAATGGTGGTTCCGATGGTAACGCATATAAAATAAGAAGCGAATGTTTGCGTTAAAGTGAATCTCTTCGGTGATCTCACGCATTCAGATCCAAAACCAGTCAGCCCAAGCCATTCTTCCAGTTGAATGTAGTGTTCATACCAAACTCACCGAAATGCCAGCTTGAACAGTGGCGTTTTACCCGCTGACCACAGTTTTTTGGTGGAATACATATCGGCAAACAAACGCACAGAGTCCATCTTCCTCTGAGCTCCTAGTTAATTCCGCATTTTCTCTTAATTACACTGGTGAGT